AGAGCCTGGCCCAAGCCTGCTTGGAATCAACAGGGATTTGCTGAGTGACAGTGATGAGCTTTGGATCTGGCTCTGAAACATCTGCAAGCTTGCAGAAAGGGCCAACATGATGTTCATGGCATCAGTGGGTGTGGGGAGGCTGCACTACAATCCCGGCATTGASGGGTGTCCCTGTGGCCCAGGCAGGTGGTAGCCCAGTGGTGACAAGGTGCAGGSAGCGGCATTCCTGTCCATACACCTCTTGCCAGGGATGAAACATGGCACTGACTGGGGCCCTTGCTGGGATTTGATGGCTGAGTCAGGGCTCTGCAAGAACCTCTCCCTGCCTTTTCCTCCCATGGATCAACCTGTCCATCACTTTGTGTGTCAAACAAAGCCTTGGGTGCTTTCCTCAGGAGAAGCCCACCCAACCTCCCCGGGTGCGTGCACCCTGCAGGAGCAGTCATACTCCCAAAAKGGTATCGGGGTGCAGGGCCAAACAGGTGGGAAACTGCTCAAGTGTGCCCCACCCCCATCTTTCTTTGTGAAACCAACTTTTGACTTCTGTGGAAGTCGAAAAGGAGGCAATTCATCTTTACATGCCTAAGCGGAGAAATACAAACCTGACAACACAGGGCTGTTGAGGGGAAAGGGTGTAGGCACTGCCTGTGGCAGGGGAAAGGCTGCCACACCAGACATGCTCTCACTGCAGCCTGATGCAATGTCCCTGTGAGCTGTTTGCTGAGGCAGAGATGGTCTCTGCCCATGGGCCCACCTGAGGGGACAGCAGTGCCGGCATGGCATGGGATCTCAGCTCCAGCAGTGCCTCTGGCTTCAGAGGCCATGCTCTGAGAGTACAGCTGTGCTAAGGCACATGGAGGACAGGGAGGTGACCTGAAACAGCCAGCACGGCTTCACCATGGACAAGTCCTGCCTGACCAACCCACTGGCCTTCTGCGTCAGGGTGACTACAGCAGCAGAAAAGGAAGGGCTRCAGGTGTCATTTACCTGGATTTCTGTAAGGCCTTTGGCACAGTCCACTCACCACTCACAACTTTCTTCTCTCTGAATTGTAGAGATGGATTTAATGGGTGTACTGCTCAGTGGATGAGGAATTGRTTGGGACAGTCTTATCCAAAGGGGAATGGTCACTGGTTGAATGGCTCAATGGAGACTGGTAAACAGCGTTGTCCCTCCGGGACCACCTTGATACTGGACAAGACTGTTTAACATCCCCTTTCCTCTGCCATGGCAGGGCATTTCAAACCAGGTGACTTAATTTGAGCCACTGAGATTAGCTCACTTGGTTACAGCATAATGCTAACRACACCAAGGCTGTGGGTTTGATCTCTGTATGGGCCATTTACTTMAGAGCTGGACTCGATGGTCCTTGTGGGTTCCTTCCAACTTAGAATATTCTRTAATATATCTTCATCAGTGACATAGTGGGATCAAGTGCACCCTCAACATGTTTTCAGATGACACCAAGCTGTGTKGTGCAATTGACACATCTGAGAGTGCTACATAAGCTCGAGAAGTGGGCCCATGGGAACCTCACAAGGTTCAACAAAGCCAAGTACAAGCCCAGTKCTGCGTCTGGATCAGGGCAGCCTTAACTATCAGTAAGGGATTGAGATGAAGGGATTGAGAGCAATCGTGCAGAGGACTTGGYGGARCTGRTAGATGGGGACTGGTCATGARCTGTCAATGTGCAYTCACWGCCCAGAAAGCCAAATGTGWMCTGGGCTGCATCCAAAGCAGKGTGGGCAGGGAGAGGACTCTGTCCCTCTGCTCTGTGCTCTGCTGAGACCCCACCTGCAGWGCTGCATCCAGATCTGGGGTCCCTGCACAGGAAGGACATGGACCYGTGGGAGTGGGTCCAGAACAGGGCCACAAAAATGATCAGAGGGCTGGAAGGTTTCTCCTATGAAAACAGGCTGAGMGAAATAAGGTTGYTCAGCCTGGAGAAGGGAAAGCTCCAAGGAGACCTTTTTGGATCCCTTTAGTACCTAAAAGAGGCTTACAAGAAAGATAGTAACAAACTTTTTAATGGGTTTGCAATAAGACAAAGTGGAATGATTCTAAACRAAAGGAGGGCAGATTCAGACTAGATAGACATAARGAAGACATTTTTTACAATGAGGGTGGTGAAATGCTGAACAGGCTGCTCAGAGAGATGGTAGATGTCCCATCACTGGAAATATACATGATCATGTTGGATGGGACTGAGCAACCTGATCTCAATGAAGATACCCCTACTCATTGCAAGGGGGTTGTACTAGATGTCCTCTCAAGATATTTTCCAATCCAGGCTATTCTGTGATTCTATGAAATATATTTATTTCAGTAGGATTGTTATACAGCCTCAGTTCAGTAAGGGGAATAGAGATAGCAGTGGGAACAGAATAACATACTCGGTGGCTGGGAGCAGAGGTCAGCCTCATATTGGCTGTGGCAGTGCTTCTCAGCATGTCCTTGCAGGRCAAGGGTGGATGAGGCACTGGGCTGGCACAACAAGCGCCAAGATAGGAGCTGGGKAGCTATCAGTGACTCCTATCAGTGACCCTGACCTGGCAGCAAAGAGCTCATGGCTGCAGCACCTGGGGTAAGGAAGGCAGCCTGACTGCAAAATGAGGAGAGCAGGTTCAGATCATCCCACAGCTGGTCTCATTTTCTTATACGGCTTTGGCATGCAGAGCTGCTGGAAAGGGCCTAGGTCAGTGGAAAAACAAAGTCAAAGTTTCAGTGGGGCTGGGCGGAAGAGAGAAAGATGGAGGAGGGCRTGCAGTGGGGCTGGAGTCAGGGGCTGTGATGCTTAACAGGGAYAGAGTCCAGCAGCCAGTGCTGCTGCATTTGTAGGGAGTCAGGGCTCCTGCCTATCTGAAAGGAAAGCAAGACAAGAGGGTGGGAGGGGATGCAGGCAATTTACAAGAGGGCTTTTCCAGAGGCTCTGATTAATCATTTTGGCATCAAAACCCATTTAAGCAATCTCTGCCCCAGGCATAACAAAGTAGAAACCACAGGGTGGGGAACTGCAGCAGGGATGGGCAGAGACAATTAAGCCATCTGCCATCAGAGAAAACTCGCTGAACTACCATGGGAGGATGGTGGAGCCAGTACAGTACAAACCGGTCACCAGTAGGTCAGAGATTCAGAGGGCTGGGCAGACCCTCTACCGGAGGGATGGCTGCAGGGCAAGAGCAGGAGCGAGCACAGAGAATGTCTGGRGGCTGGTGTGCTTTGCAGCTCAGAGCAGCCCCAGCCAGCTTCAGCCACTTTGGGAAGACACAGGAAGCTGGAAACCAAGAAAAGCAACTTGGTTTTTCCATGCAGAAAAGGTTAACTACGACCCTGCTAAAAACATCTGCCTCCTCTGCTGAGGYGACAAAATACAGCAGCCAGGGGAARGTGACTTGAAGAATCAAGTCACTAAAGCTGCTTTTTCATCATGATGCCATCTACTAGGAATAACTAAAAAGGACACTAAAACTGTCTGGGACTTTACCTTSAGAGTAACAGAAGTTAGGGGATATTTCAGAGGAGAATGATCATAATTAGGGTTGTATATAGAATTAGAAAGAATATTCCAGCCAAACACATTAGTAACAACTGGTATTGCCTGTGGAGACAATCACTGACTGAACCTAGTGAAGCCTTGGATCAGGTCCGGCTCTTTGATTTACAGCTGCCCTGGGTGCAGATTGGACAAGGACCAGGCACATTTGTTCCCAACCCATCTGGCTGCTAGGACACCACAGCAACGGGGCTGTGGTGCCAGACTGCACCTTACCAGGTCCTGCTACCACACAGGAAATGTCCAGCCAGCCTAAATCCATTTACAGCAYGGCCACACACAGAGAGGCCTACAAAGAACCACAGACAACCAATTTCTTCACTGAAACATTGCCCACTTACCCAAGATGAAGGAAAACAGTCACAGAACTGACCTTCTAGAAAAAACTAACTGCTGGAATAGAACTCACTGTTTGAAAGCTTGTCAGCAGGAAAAGAAAAACATCTAGAGAGCTATCATCATATCCCCATTTGGGGTTTTGCAGGCCTGCATTTTATCATTGTCTTGGTTTGAAAGATAAGTGCTTGCCAATGAAGGCAGGGACCTCCCTTGGAGCAGTGAATATGACCCCCCTTCCCTCTGAATTATTATAACTTTGAAATCACAAGGCTTTCAGGCAAAGATATGGGTAAAAGGGAATAACAGTTTTTACTAGTATGTATAACAAGGTAAACAACAACAATAGCAACAACCCACCCAACCACAAACCCAGTGACACTTTCCCTGCGCTGCCACACACCCTCCCCTTTGGTGCAGTT